CCCCCCCCCCCCCCACTGTGTGTTGATCGGCAGGTTACTTATTGGATCCTAATGGAGAGAAGTGTGTGACAGCTCCCCGGCAGGTATCAGCCCTGCACCATAAGGATGTTACCATAGCTATGGCAGCAGCTAGTGATGGAGCGACAGTAGTCGTGACTGAGAAGGGGGACGTCTACCTGTTGGCTGACTACCAGTGCAAGAAAATGGCTTCAAGGTGAATTGGACAGTATAATTTAATACACTGCAAAAAATGATAAAAGACTTGTATTGAATGCTTTCTTCTTAACAGTCACTTTTGCACTGCACTAGTAGTGGGCAAATGTCTTGTTTATGTACAGTATTCATTCTTAACTAAGTCTAGGTGTAATGTGGAATGTCTGTAAAGAATTAAAGGTTGTGCTCTTCATCTTCCTCCATGCTTATAAATCTGATTGATAGTCTTCTCAAGCACAACAGAGGAATTGTCTGTTCTGCATCACATCCGGTATTCTAATCAGACCTAATTTAAATGGCAGCAGACAGTAAATCACCCACTAAACTGGAAACAGTCATGTTATCCTTTTCTTTGATTTGCATGGTGTAGTGCTTCAAATATGTGTTTATTTAGTGAGGATAAGTGCATATGAGTGAATAAAATAAGTTTATACATATGATTTGAATGTGACACTTCATATCCTTTGGTTTTTACTGGTCTCTTTCAGGCAGCTGAATATCAAGAAGGTTCTGGTCAGCGGTGGTAGTCTGGACCACCGTGTGGTTCCACAGATCCTGAATGAGGGAGGAGGGGAAAAGGTGGCCATCTTGGCATTAGATGAAGCTGGGAGGGTAAGCGCATTTAGAAAGTATAAGAGGAAATGCTTTATATTTTGGTTTATGCACCTGCTGGAGAGAAGCATTACTTAATTTAATCAATTAATTATAGGACGATAAAATTGTAGTTTAGTCTCACTCCTGCCTCAGTTTCTAGATGTTACTGCAGTGAGAGAATGTCTAACATTGTTATTTTTAACATGGCTTTACTGTTGTTATCTAACCTATGGTGCAAGTAGACAGTTATACAATCCCAAATCACCCCAGCCTATAAGGGGACCTATAGATAAAAATGGTGACTAAGACTTGTGTTGCTGTAACTTTCCTTAAATTTTCCCTCCTCCGTTTCCCTCTCTCTGTCAGGTGTTTTGCTGGCGTTCCTGCGGCAGCTCGGTGAGACAGTGCCGGTGGGCGTACGGGCGCCAGGTTTTCATGTCGGACATAGCTCTCAGCAAGAATGGCATGATGTTTGTAACTCAGGAGGGGGAGGGCTTCAGTGGCGTGTGGGCTGGAGAATATAAGAAGTACGGGGAGAAGAAAGGTGAGGAATTTAGGAATATGTCATATTAAATCATGAAGTTGTCCAATGTTTTGCCATTGTTGGTATTTCAGATTATTTAAATAATTTTCGTTGGACTTTTATTGATTTGTATTACACTTTTTACTCACTTTACACTTTTTTTTTTTATAGTAAACCTTAAATTTATATTGAATGAAATGTGACCTAAACACACTAATTTCAAGTTTGTTAGAGGTAAAACAGCAGCAAGTGTACAAGGATAAGAATAGCAAGCACCAGCAACATGAAAGTAAAATTTTAGCCAATAAGACTGGCTAAAAGACAAAACGTTTGAAGAACTTTGAAGAGTGTTAATTTAATTTAAGTAAATGTGATTTACATGCTTCTCTTAATCTTACAGAGGTGAGTGTGGAGGTTTGTGGCCATTCAGATGCTGGGACACTATACGAGAGAATCCGCCTGGAGAAGCTCCCGTACGTCCACAGAGCTGTCAGCATCACCATGGACTCTAAAGGGCGAAATTTTGGAGTGCTTCAGTCAGACCCCAAAACAAGGTAGGATATCTCCCCTGAAGCACAGAAAATGCTGTACACATTGGTGCACTTCCATTTATAAGTCTGTGAGGTGTGAGTGAAGTGCAAGCTGTTTCACCAGCCAGTGGTGACAGCTGCATTGATAAAATTTAAATTGGCAGACGTGAGACGGAAGCTTATCCACATCCTGGCTAAACAGGGTGTTTAAAACTACAATGAGTGCTGCATTTGAGTGATAATTGAACTGGAGGAAATAAATCTATGAAACAGACGGAAATCCAAACTCCACCAATGAGGTTATTCATGTTCAGTTAGTGGCCAGAGAAGCCTAATAATCCTAAATGGACAGATTTCAAAAGAATTTGAATTAAATTAAATTAAAAAATTGTCTTTTATTTTTAGATCTCTTCCCTGTTGATAACATACACTGCTTATCTGGAGCCTGTGTTACAGCCCTTTTCTATTATACCACTGTTCTTTTAACAACAGTTTTTATGCATTTGCTGTCAGATGGGCATCGTAATCTTGTTATTGAAAAGGTCTGTTCTCTATTTACATTTATCTCTGTTTAAATAGGCACCTGGCCTTCTGAAGATTCATTTCCTCTAGTCCAATTATCACTCAGGTGTCACAGATGACACTGTTTGTGTTTGTGTTCTTGATGCATGTGTTTTAAATTGCCATTTCTGATCATCTAAATGATTACTGTTCAATGATGTCCACCCTGTGTCTTCAATCCAGCTTGTATGAGATTCCCATCATTTCTCCATCCTCCTTCTCCCAACACTTCCGGAGCCTTCTGGATGAGGCGGATGAAATGGACAGCATCCATGATGTGACCCTTCAGGCCGGCAATCGCACCTTCCCAGCGCACAAGTACATCCTGTCTATGAGGTCAGAGTTGTTCCGGAAGCTGTTCATGTCTGAGCATTGCGGGGTTGATGAGGAGTTGAGTGGAGAAGTGAGGAAGAGCGAAGACGCCGTGGGCTGCGATTTAATCATTTTGGAGAAGATCCCAGCAGAAATGCTGGAATACGTTCTGCACTTCATCTACACAGACTCCTGTGAACTTCTGGTGCACGGGACCCGGCCGAGAGTCTCAGGGGTCTTGATGGGACAAAACCAGGTGAGGGGAAAAGAAAGTCATCATCATCAATCATTTACTTATTCATTTAGCAAACTCTTTTACTAGGCTTCAATATATATACTATGGTTTTAGTCAATCTAAGATATTCGCATTGGCATTGAAGAGCTTTGGTTATTTAATGAGGACTGTGTTCCACTGTCTCGTCCTGTCCCTGGCCAGGACTTGGAGCAGGAGAGGCTTATCAGCAGCCTCCAGGACTTGGGCCTGAGAGGTCGTTCAGCCCTCGATGTGTACCGCTCCATTCCCCCTGCAGCCAAAGGAGATGGTGACAAGGCCAAGAGCAAGTGCGCCAAGCCTGGCAAGAAGGGGAAAGGAGGCAAAGGTGACAAGGCCGGGGCCAACGAGGGAGGGGCCAACCCGGTGAAAACCTTACAGGGTGTTGCAAAAAAGCTGGGTCTGGGAAGCCTGTCTGCACGGTGAGAGACGAGAGACGAGTGTGCTCCAAATCTTAAGGCAAAATCATATTTGGTGTCATTGCTTTTTAATAATTTATCTTTGTTCCTCGACAGACTGGATGGAGTCAAATATGAAAGTGGAAAAATCAATGTTATAAACAAGAAAACTGGCAACAAACCCAAATTCTACCAGAAAAAATGGTGCGTATATGAGTGTATAGGACCAGTTGTAGCTGAAGTGAATCTGAGAAGAAAATGTACATGTATATATCGTTTGTCTTTTGTGTCTGTGCAGCTCATATCTTTGTGATGTCACCTTGAAATCTGAAGATGGGAAAGAGTTTCCATGTCACAAAAGTGTCCTCTGTGCAAGACTAGGTAAGGTGGATCCACAGATCAACAAAGATGCAAATACACAGATGTTGTCATTCATTCATATAGAGAATGCAAGTTGTCATTTTACATGAATGTAACTAGTGTTCATTTTTCTGCAGAATACTTCAATAGTATGCTTGGAAACCCCTGGATTGAGGTATGCTAGGTTTTTATTTCATGCTGCCTAATATAAATACACTTTTGTGGACATGACCCATACTGGTACTGATAATAATGTTGTCTTGCGCCCCCTCAGGCCACATCCTGCACTGCACTGGAGATGCCCACTAGCTCAGAGATTCTGCAGGTCATTCTCGAGTACATTTACACAGATGAGTCTCCCACCATTAAAGGTAGCTTAGCTAGTTTTATGTTGACTGATAGCACATTTTGAATTGGTATTTTTAATGATGTTGCTTTATTTGACCATATTAGTAAAAAGGCACATATTAACAGAATATATTGTTCTTTCTTTGCTCGACAGAGTCTCTGAATGTGGAGTTTGTCTGCAACGTATTGGTTGTGGCTGACCAGCTGTTAATTACACGACTGAAGGAGATGTGCGAGGTCGTCATCACGGAGAACTGTATGTTTTTTTTGTCTTTTCCTCTATCCTTCTAGCCAGTATCATTTCCTTTACTCTTATCTTTTCCCTCCTTCTTTTGAAATAATGCTGAATTCATGTCATATGAAAATTACAATTTAATGGATTTTAAGATTTGAATTAAAAAATTGAATTTGTTGTTCTGTAGTTCAGTCATCAAAACACTTTGACAGGAGTTTTGTGCAAACTGGATTTGCTCCGGATTTACAAATAATATATTTGAGGGCTGTTGATCTCCATTAAATATAACTATAAGGTGACTAAAATTGGCAGAAATGTTGGTGTTCTCGTAACTTAACTGAGTAATGAGGTATGAAAGCATAAAATAAACATAGCATCATCGAGGTTATTCAGACTGCTGTCCCATCATGTTCTGTTTCTTGATATATTTGATCTGGTGTTCTTCTAAATATCACCTTTTACTTAATTTCAACATGATGCGTCATCATCTGTGGTTGGCCAGTTATCAACAAGTAATACAGAAAATCATAAGTAAAAAATCGGAAGGGCTCTGAATTTATATGTTATTGACTGTTTTGTGTTGGATTCTTCAATTTCCAAATTATATATGACATGAATGCAGCACAATTTTACAAATGGAAGTTATGAAAAATATTATTAGACACAGTTGGTTGTTTTTTCTGTGAATCGTCATTGAAGCTGCTTGCTTTTCTCTTCTCAGTGACTCTGAAGAATGCCGCAGAGCTGCTGGAGTTTGCCGCCATGTACAACGCAGAGCAGCTTAAACTCTCCTGTCTCCAGTTCATTGTGCTCAACATGGCTGCCCTGCTGGAGTCAAAGTGAGAATCAGAATAACTAACCCAGTGTGCCCTTGCAAAGCTCTTTTTCTTTTTTCATTTCAGCATATTTTTCTTTAATTGTTTATTTATAGCTACACAGAGTTGCAGTGAACACTTTGAACACAGTGCTTTAATGAATCTCATTAAAAATGTTCATTATAACTTCAAAAGTACACTGTTCTGTAGGAGATTATCTCGAGTATGTATTCAGTAAAGTTGACATGGAGATTCTGATACACGGCAAGACAAATACGTTGCCCAGCAAGAGCGAACTAAAAATATATTTTCTCATCTGTATGTGTGTGTCTGTCTGTCTGCCCCTTTTGTTTTTTGTGTTCCCCTCAGAGCGCTGGATATTCTTAGTGATGAAGTGCTTGTGGAGCTTTCTGCAGCCTACAGGAGGATGGTGAGTCAGAGTAGCTATGCAACACTTTTTGTTTCGAATGAAATAACTAACTTGGGAAAAACTAATGTGATTGTTGTGCTTGTTTGTTATATAACTCAGTTGGATGTAACCGACACTCTATATGACTTGTGGGAAATATAAAGAAATACAAGTGTGCCATAAAAATAAATCTTGCAGCTTCTCTATAGATTTTTCAGTTGTTCTGTTTTTTTTTTTGTTTGTTTTAATTTCAGATCCCAGCAATGCAAAGGAGGGTTATCACTCCATATCCTGGTGCCCCAGACCTCAGTGTGTATGAAGATGAGGATTTGGACTCAGCTTTCAGCCCCAAACCAGAAGCAGAACTGGATCACTCCTGCAGGTATACAGAAATGTTCAGCATCTCCATGTTTACTCTTAATGTGTTTGTTATCTGATTTGGCTGCTGTGCAGAGATTTGTATTTTCATATCCTCTGTTTAAAAACCAAAACAAAACATCATTACTCTTTTCGTGCGGGTACAGACCAAAGGTAACACTCATTACCTAGAGTATAAATTTAAGGAAAGTGGGAGCTAACCATGCTATCTGTAAGTCCTTGCAATCCCCTTTAAATTTCTTAAATGTGGTACCCCAAATAAATACCTGCTAATGATTGTACCACTATTTTCTCCAGGGAAATCCTCTTAAAGAAGGCCAAGATGAAGGCTAAAAAGAAACCAAGGCGACGCTCTGACAGCTCAGGGGGATACACTCTCTCTGATATCATTCAAAGCCCCCCTGTTGCAGGTATACTTCAACACACACTGATGATAAATAAAATCATTACATGCTCGACTTACCACATATCCACACATCATGACAAACCATAAAAGTTTCTTTTGTTTCTTTCCGCCACATCCATCAGCTCCTTTCAGAAGTTCTAGGTTGTCGTTGGTTGTAAAAGTTTCACTCTCTTTCTTCTCAGTGGTTTCGCCATCCCTGGTGAAATTAGGCAAGGCAAACTCCACAGAGTCTCTGCAGGAGCTGCTCACATCCGATTCAGAGGGGAGCTACATGGGCGTGGGCAGTCCCCGAGACATGCAGTCACCCATCTTCCATGACAAAACTGAGGTGAATGTCCGACCGCTACAACAATCACATGCAGTTATTTTATTGCAAACCTAACATAACAAATAATATGTTTAATATATGTTACTACAGTAGTGCCTACTGCTGGTGAATCATTAAAAGATTGCACAAAGTAACATGTAACTTGTGCTTGATTGTAGGATTATTACATGCAGTGGTAGATCTAATACTCAATAATTGTTAATAAATAATTGTTGTTTATCATCTGCAGGATGAGAAGGCTTTTAGTCAGAGGCTAAAGACCCCACCCAGCACCCCGACCTCCTGCCTCCTAACTCCCCCCAACTCTGCTCCACAGACCATCCCCAAGGCCCTTCCCTGGTAAGATGGACTTCACGATCCTATGTTTTAAAAAAATCTTCATTCTCACAATCTTGGAAGTTTGTTTCCTTTCTTTCTCTTCCTGAAAGTACTTGAGATATAACATTCATCAGTGGTTTAATATTATTTGAAAAGCAGGTTTGAGATTTGATGCCAGGTAGCCTGTCTTTAACAACAGACCTTATATCCTCCCACTTCATTTTGATGGGGGGGGGAATGTTTTCATCCCAACTTAATAAATAAATATTGAAAATTAAGCTGTATATGTGACTATGTTATTACAATCTGCAGTCCTGCTCGTCCACCCCCAGTCTTGGATCTGAGAACAATCATGGACATGGAGGCCAACTCCCTGCAGACCCTCGGAGCGACTCCTAAAAGCCCCGGAAGGTATGAGACATCGACTGTATTTATTCTACCTGAGGGAATCATTTACAGATTATTTATAGTGACAACTTTATGATTGCAATAAATGAATGA